ACAGGTGTGTCTTTGCACAAAAGAACACTGGAGAGTGAGTGTACCACCCATGGGCCTGGTTACCACTGGGAAGGAATCTGAGATAGAGGAGCAGTGAAGAAACCCTTGCCCTTTAGTTCCGTATGCCTTCAAGAGTGCTTGAATGACTTGGCCCAGGCTGTTTGATAGAACTTAAAATACAGAGATTCAGCAACTGACACAGACATTTAAAAAATTTTACCTGCTTTTTTTTAAACCAAGATCCATAAGATATTACTATCTCTTAAGAACTGCTCATTTAAAATTATGTTTAAATTTAAATTTAAAATAAGAGAAAAAAGGTTCGAGACTATTTAATTATCTATTTGCACACAAACTATTCATTTACAAAATGTAAATTTACATCTTAAAATCTTTACTAGAAAGCAACTTGATCACAATTACCTTTGCTCATATGCATTAAACCAAATAAACTTAGAAGTAATAAAACTGAACTTCCTTCAAAATCTGTGTGTATCTATGAGGCCTGCTTAACTTCAGTTTCTCAAGCACATTCATCTGCTAATGTCTCCTGCAGGGCTCAAGATTTCTCTGCCTACCCTCTTCTATTACCGTCTCAGCCAGTCAAATAGCTGTTTTTGTTGTTGTTGTCATTGTTCATTAGTTTTAATTGTTTATATTGAGGTACATACAATAAACACACATAACAAACAGCCTGTCAAATATCTAAACTCTATAAAATAATAAACAGGAAGCAAGCACTTGATCACTGTTAATCAAGGAATCATTTCATTATGAAGTAATTACATGCTTTCTATCTTCCAGACTCACTGGAAAATCTGCATTTCCAAGTAATAGAGGAGAAAGGAGTAGCATTTATTATACACATGCATGTTCCAAACTATGTTAATACAGTCCTCATAACAACCCATAAATGAGGAAATGAGACTCAGGATTATGTTTGAAACTGAGATCTGAATTATCCACTGACTAGCCCACATCCTAAGGTTAGTTCATTCAACTCAAGCACACAGAAACCCCAAAGAAAAAAACAAGACATACAATTCAATCTCCTATGCATTTTTTTAAAATTTCAAACTATGTTCTTTTTAAAAGGCCAACTTGCAATTATTCTAAAATTAAGTTTAATTCAACTGAAACATTAATAACTTCAAGATATTAAATTACTTTGACATTACTGTTAGATAGAAAGGTAGACATGAGCAGCTGAAAAAGGGGAAGATAAGGTTCAAAGAGAAAGCCCCCCAGAAAAGATTCAAACAAAAAGCCGCCCAAACTCTGTCCAGGTAGGAGGTCCCATGTGAACACAACAAAGGCTTTTTTTGCAAGAAGATAACTTCCTCCCCAACCAGATCCCAATGCGGGCATAATAGAAAGGAAGTAAGTGCCCAACCACACCTCAGCGTGGGGAAAGGACATGCTCACTGAGAGGGATAACTGCATAGAAGGACCTAACAATCAAATAATCCCACTTTGTCTGTCAAAGAGGCCCCTCCCAGCCAGATGTAATATATAAGCCTCCCGCCTGAAAGTTCAGTGCCTTTGTCTACCTTGACTTTGGCTGGCTCTTCCCTTGGAGTGTATTTGAATAAAACTTTAGCACCACTTTGCTACTGTGTTTCTGCCTTTCAATTTTTTGTTGTGGCTGAGGCCCAGGGAGGACAGAACTGAGAACAAACTCAACCTATAACATTATTTTTTTTATTTTGAAGTTTTAAGTTATTATTTTATGAAATAATGGAAAATAATATTAATAAAGATTCTTTTAGAGCATAACAAAATATTAATTTTGAACATGTTAAGCCAGAAGTCATCATATCACAGCCAAAGTCCAAACCCAGCAGCCACCTATTTTTGTAAATAAAGAAATAAACTTTTATTGCAACACAGCTACACTCACTATTATTGTCCATGGCTGCTTTGGCACTACAAGGACAGAGTTGAGTTGTGACAGAGAAAGAACAGCTCACAAACCCTAAATGTTTACTTTCTAGGCCTTTACAGAAGTCTGCCAATGCCTGCCTTAAACCATATTCAGAGACTTGAGCCAGTGTCCCTTTGGCTGAGACCCTTGACACTCAAAATATGGTCTGCAAACCAGCAGCATTAGTATCACCTGGACATTTATTAGAAATGCTGAGTCACAGACCCAATCCTGGACCTACTAAGCTAGAATCAGCATTTTAGCAAGATTTTCATTAACTTAGAAAAGCACAGTCTTAGACTCTTAAAACTGCTGGATTTAGGAGGAGTCACAGAGACTTTGTAGTCGAATCTAGAAAATACAGAAATTATTTTAATAATTATCCTTTAGGTCCATTTAGTCCTCTGGGTATCTTCAGCAACAATGAAAGTATATTTGAATTATTATCTGCAAATCTACCAAGTAAATTTTTCATTTTTATATTCAAATCATCAGTAAAAAATGTTCAAAAGCATACATTCAAAAAGAGATTCTGTGGTAAGCAAAGAGAGAACTCCCTCCAAGTTATCTCAGAATACAACTAAAAGTCAACAATGGACTCATCAATTACAAGCCAAATCTCTATCACCACATTAACCACCAGCCACGAGTCTGTCAGATACTCTAATGGGATTGAGACAGCAACAGATCACAGCTTTGGAGTTAGACTAAATGTGAATTCTGATTCCAACATTTGCTAGAAATGTAATCTTGGAGAGTATCTACTCAAATCCAAAGGTAAGAATTTACATTATTATTGTTTACACATTTACACTTGTTCTCTTTCAGTGTTCTTCCTCAGTTTTAAAAACTTCGTTTCCTCAGCTTTTGCTTTTCTCTTAAGTACACCTACATGATTTCTTTTATTTGAGAAAATTTTCTTATTGAAAATTACACTATTTTAAAATTACACAATGTTAGAAAGTATTTCTGCATACTATATATACTCAAAAATGATTGTGGAAAAAATGGCCTTATATCATATACTTGTGAGGTTTAGAATTACCTGGAAACAGGTCAGAACCTGACATAAATACTCCACAGATTTATGTCCACAGATAAAAAGAAGGCTAATATTCATTGTCCTTTTTAAATAGCAGAGTAAAATAAAGATTTCATGTGTACCTATTTTTCAGGTAATTTGAAGAGTACTGCCAGTATGCCCCTCCTGTCAATCATCCTCATGTATATAACTTTTAGGAATGAAAATTCAAGATAAAAAATGACTTCAAGTTTCCCATCACATAAGCATAAAATAGAACTACAGTGCTATATGCCATTGATTCTGATTAAGAAAATCACAAAGGGTCATAAAAAGGTAAAAGGAATAATTTGAAAGAGACTTTTCATAAAAGGTAAAACCTAATGCCAGAAAACAGAACATAACACTTCAAAAGGCACTTAAAGTATACTGTAATAAAAATACACGTAATGCTTGTAATAATTTATAAAAAGCTCCCCTCTATATATTCAAGTTTTCTGAAGACTGATTTAAAAAACATCCAAGCTTGTTTTCTTGTTAAAAATTCAAAGTGGAAAGGGATTAAAGATGGTGGCATGAGAGGTGAGACAGCGGCTTCCTCCTAAAACACCATATAATATGAAAATATAATTAATACAATTACTCCTGAAAAAGCAACAGGAAAGAGGGCTGCACCAGATTGCATACACCTGGAGAAAATAATAAACCTCACAGAACAGGGTAACATACCAAAGCCATGGCTGGGCGGGACCCAAGCCCTTCCCCGACCCCAGCGCACAGGCAGGAGGAAGAGAAACAGAGTGAGGAGGGAGTGGAGGCCTGCAACTGCCAAACACCTAGCTCTGGAGATCTGCTCTGGGAGCAGAAACCTACATTTCATGTTGCTTTCTCAGTGTTCTTATGATTAGGAGTGTTAGAAAGCTAAGACAGGCAGAATACCTGGAAATACTAAGATTCCAGACACTTGTGGAAAGCAGGGATCCATATATGGCTGCCCTGGGACAGAAGAAAGGCAGGCAGTCTGAGAGACTTCCTAATAGTGAAAGGGCTGCTAAAGGGGCAAGGACTGCAGATAGCTTACAGCTCAGGAGAGAGGACAGCCAAATTGTCCGGGTATACTCTGCCCAGCAGGTTGGGAACTTTCACGATCGTCAGGTACTCCAGCCTCCTGGCTGGCTACACAGCTCCAAGGCCCCCTCTGTGATATGCAACCTACAGTGCCTTTCTCCTGGCCAGCCCCACCTGGCTCGCAAACCGGCAAACCCTACCCTGGTGTTAGGCCAGCCAGAGGTAAGCCCCATGTACAGGAACTACAAACACAAAGCATAGAGGCTTATACCTGTATGCTCGGCCCACTGATTCAGGCAATGGAGACATGCATAGCAGCCAGGAAGCAGGAAACAGCTCTCTCCTCCCCCCAGGCACCAACATCACTCCCCTGTGACCCCCAGCATTGCTCTAGGGGCTGAGCAGCTCCAGAGAGTACAGTGTCTGGGCACTAGAGAGCACCAGTAAACAAAAAAGCCTGTCTATCTTTTCATTGTTAATGTACCTAAGTGATTATAAATCTTGTGGCCAGCATCACCTGCTCTGTAAAGCCTTACCTATCTCTTCCCACACAGAATTCCTCTCTCTTTAACACTCTGAAATACTTAATTCCATTATTATACAACTATTGGAACTTTTCTTTACAGACATTATAGTATTTACTTTCATACTTTGAACCTACTGAGTTCAATAACAATGTCTAATCATCTCTGTAACTACAGAGTAGTTGAAAAATAACCAGTGCTCACAAAATGGCTATTGAATTAAATCATGTAAACCAAAGCAAATCCTGACTTTGAAATTTCTAATGTGATCTCTTTGACTGCTTCACAGTAGTATTATATTTTTTTATTATGTTTATCATAATGTCCAGTATTATGGTAATCTTGACTTCACTTACTCTATCAGTTCCTCTACTAAACAACTCCATTTTAGGCAAGTACATTAGTTAGGATTCTATGTTGAATGTCATAGGAAACCCAGATGAAATTAATGGCTTTCTCTTACCGTTTCCCTCGGGGATAATGTCGCACATATTCTCCAACATCGTGAGCAGCAACAGCTAACACTTGTGGATCATCTGACACCTCCAGAAGTTTTGTCAAAATTCTGAAATAAATTTAATTCAAAGAGGGTCTGATTACTAATTTGTCTATAGAGCACAACAGAGTATAGGTAAAATCCATGTATCTTCCCCAAAATAGACATTTATAAACAAACAGAATTGCATTTTCTTTAGATTTCACTATTACACATAACATATTACACATGTTAGCAGTTTTCAAACCTTTATACATATATTAACAGATTATTTTCATATTCACAATGTATATACAACCCACAATTCCCAAAGTATCAGGAACTCCTTCTCTCCTGCTCTCTCAAGAAAGAATAATTCGAATGTGAGTTAATGTCATTTTCATATCCAGTTACCAGTGAGTCCTTGCTAATGACATTTTGAACATAAATCACTTGTAAAGCTTTTATTATATTAGGAACAAATTATGTTAAGCTGTTCCTTAACATAAACTCCTCAAAAGGGAGTCTGAGCCCTGAGCACCTACATTCCCCCAATCTTGTCTCAACCCTCACAAAAGACTTGAACATTTACTTTGCAAATATAATTAAAACCATACAGAACTTATTTCTGAGAAGTTGACAGCCCAAATTTACAACTCTGAATCCCTTGCCCTCCTACTATTTTGTCTAGACCAACTACACAAGCCAAGTAAAACTACTGCTGGAGCCTGAGGGTACTTCTGAGAATAGGAGGCAGCCATAAACAGCAGAGAAGGCTCCCCTCTGCTGGGATCCTGGAGCTATGACCCTGGATTTCTGCCTTCTCAAGGCCCTCTAGGAAAGGGTCATCTTACCCAGGGGCTGCAAGTGTTCTTGGAGTGAAGGGAGGGGGGATCACACTGTTCAGAATCCAATCAGCTGAGAAAGGAGTGCACTTCATCCTGAGTGCAAGTGGAGATCATTCAAGGAATAGATAGTTCCTGTTATTTAAACTGCCCAAGGGTACAGAAGGAAATAGAAAACCTCAATTCATTCCAGAAGCAGCATATAACTGTGATAACCAATCAAAATGAGTAATTTTTAATGGCTAGGTGAAAACATATAAAAATTGTTTTTTAATATGCCAGGAATAGCTACTCAGATACAGATAGAGAAAAAATTTAAAGAATAAGCTAACTGGACCTAGCAGAATAATGAGAGACTGTCTTTGATTCAGTGCTCAGATCAAATGTCATCTCTTGCTTAAGGGGCACCAACCACTCTAAGACAGTATCCTCCATCATTACTCTCTATCCCCTCTTGCTGACTCATTTTTCTTCACAGTACCAATCACCACCAGCCATTATATTATATAGTTACTTGATTATTTGTTAGGCTTTCTCTCCCAAATACAATGTAAGCTTAATAACAATATAATATTTTACCTGCCATTGCATCTGCAACACCTAGAATAGTACTGACCCTAAAACTGATGCTCAGTAAACATTTGTTGAAAAAAGTGAATAAGGAGTTTAAGAGTAAAATTGTGATGTCAAATGGGAAAAACAATTTTGACAGCTCCTAACAGAATTTACATTACACAGACTCTTTGATCCAGCAATTTTATTTCTAGGAATCTATCCTACAGAAATATTTTCACACTTCCACTATGATGTGTGTATACCAGCTCAGACTAAGAGGAAGGCCAGAGAGTGGAGGCCATGTAAAAGGGTCAAACTTTTCCCTCCATTTCTTCTTCCATGATGGTAGCACCTGCTTTTCCCTCTGTAATAATGACAACCTCACTTACAAAGCAGTTTCACATTCACCACTTTATCCAATCCCTACAACTAGGATTATTAGTTCTACCTATTTTACAGAGAGGTAAACCAAGGCTGAGTGAAATAAAGTGGCCAAAGACCTAAAAAAAAAACTACGTTATTTTAAGAGACCCCAAGCTATAAGTGAAAAAAGGCAAGAGACAGACTAATGCACTTAGCATAGCAAAGTATGAATAATTCAACACAAAAGATGTGGGTAGATGCGGGTACAGGTGTGTCTTTGCACAAAAGAACACTGGAGAGTGAGTGTACCACCCATGGGCCTGGTTACCACTGGGAAGGAATCTGAGATAGAGGAGCAGTGAAGAAACCCTTGCCCTTTAGTTCCGTATGCCTTCAAGAGTGCTTGAATGACTTGGCCCAGGCTGTTTGATAGAACTTAAAATACAGAGATTCAGCAACTGACACAGACATTTAAAAAATTTTACCTGCTTTTTTTTAAACCAAGATCCATAAGATATTACTATCTCTTAAGAACTGCTCATTTAAAATTATGTTTAAATTTAAATTTAAAATAAGAGAAAAAAGGTTCGAGACTATTTAATTATCTATTTGCACACAAACTATTCATTTACAAAATGTAAATTTACATCTTAAAATCTTTACTAGAAAGCAACTTGATCACAATTACCTTTGCTCATATGCATTAAACCAAATAAACTTAGAAGTAATAAAACTGAACTTCCTTCAAAATCTGTGTGTATCTATGAGGCCTGCTTAACTTCAGTTTCTCAAGCACATTCATCTGCTAATGTCTCCTGCAGGGCTCAAGATTTCTCTGCCTACCCTCTTCTATTACCGTCTCAGCCAGTCAAATAGCTGTTTTTGTTGTTGTTGTCATTGTTCATTAGTTTTAATTGTTTATATTGAGGTACATACAATAAACACACATAACAAACAGCCTGTCAAATATCTAAACTCTATAAAATAATAAACAGGAAGCAAGCACTTGATCACTGTTAATCAAGGAATCATTTCATTATGAAGTAATTACATGCTTTCTATCTTCCAGACTCACTGGAAAATCTGCATTTCCAAGTAATAGAGGAGAAAGGAGTAGCATTTATTATACACATGCATGTTCCAAACTATGTTAATACAGTCCTCATAACAACCCATAAATGAGGAAATGAGACTCAGGATTATGTTTGAAACTGAGATCTGAATTATCCACTGACTAGCCCACATCCTAAGGTTAGTTCATTCAACTCAAGCACACAGAAACCCCAAAGAAAAAAACAAGACATACAATTCAATCTCCTATGCATTTTTTTAAAATTTCAAACTATGTTCTTTTTAAAAGGCCAACTTGCAATTATTCTAAAATTAAGTTTAATTCAACTGAAACATTAATAACTTCAAGATATTAAATTACTTTGACATTACTGTTAGATAGAAAGGTAGACATGAGCAGCTGAAAAAGGGGAAGATAAGGTTCAAAGAGAAAGCCCCCCAGAAAAGATTCAAACAAAAAGCCGCCCAAACTCTGTCCAGGTAGGAGGTCCCATGTGAACACAACAAAGGCTTTTTTTGCAAGAAGATAACTTCCTCCCCAACCAGATCCCAATGCGGGCATAATAGAAAGGAAGTAAGTGCCCAACCACACCTCAGCGTGGGGAAAGGACATGCTCACTGAGAGGGATAACTGCATAGAAGGACCTAACAATCAAATAATCCCACTTTGTCTGTCAAAGAGGCCCCTCCCAGCCAGATGTAATATATAAGCCTCCCGCCTGAAAGTTCAGTGCCTTTGTCTACCTTGACTTTGGCTGGCTCTTCCCTTGGAGTGTATTTGAATAAAACTTTAGCACCACTTTGCTACTGTGTTTCTGCCTTTCAATTTTTTGTTGTGGCTGAGGCCCAGGGAGGACAGAACTGAGAACAAACTCAACCTATAACATTATTTTTTTTATTTTGAAGTTTTAAGTTATTATTTTATGAAATAATGGAAAATAATATTAATAAAGATTCTTTTAGAGCATAACAAAATATTAATTTTGAACATGTTAAGCCAGAAGTCATCATATCACAGCCAAAGTCCAAACCCAGCAGCCACCTATTTTTGTAAATAAAGAAATAAACTTTTATTGCAACACAGCTACACTCACTATTATTGTCCATGGCTGCTTTGGCACTACAAGGACAGAGTTGAGTTGTGACAGAGAAAGAACAGCTCACAAACCCTAAATGTTTACTTTCTAGGCCTTTACAGAAGTCTGCCAATGCCTGCCTTAAACCATATTCAGAGACTTGAGCCAGTGTCCCTTTGGCTGAGACCCTTGACACTCAAAATATGGTCTGCAAACCAGCAGCATTAGTATCACCTGGACATTTATTAGAAATGCTGAGTCACAGACCCAATCCTGGACCTACTAAGCTAGAATCAGCATTTTAGCAAGATTTTCATTAACTTAGAAAAGCACAGTCTTAGACTCTTAAAACTGCTGGATTTAGGAGGAGTCACAGAGACTTTGTAGTCGAATCTAGAAAATACAGAAATTATTTTAATAATTATCCTTTAGGTCCATTTAGTCCTCTGGGTATCTTCAGCAACAATGAAAGTATATTTGAATTATTATCTGCAAATCTACCAAGTAAATTTTTCATTTTTATATTCAAATCATCAGTAAAAAATGTTCAAAAGCATACATTCAAAAAGAGATTCTGTGGTAAGCAAAGAGAGAACTCCCTCCAAGTTATCTCAGAATACAACTAAAAGTCAACAATGGACTCATCAATTACAAGCCAAATCTCTATCACCACATTAACCACCAGCCACGAGTCTGTCAGATACTCTAATGGGATTGAGACAGCAACAGATCACAGCTTTGGAGTTAGACTAAATGTGAATTCTGATTCCAACATTTGCTAGAAATGTAATCTTGGAGAGTATCTACTCAAATCCAAAGGTAAGAATTTACATTATTATTGTTTACACATTTACACTTGTTCTCTTTCAGTGTTCTTCCTCAGTTTTAAAAACTTCGTTTCCTCAGCTTTTGCTTTTCTCTTAAGTACACCTACATGATTTCTTTTATTTGAGAAAATTTTCTTATTGAAAATTACACTATTTTAAAATTACACAATGTTAGAAAGTATTTCTGCATACTATATATACTCAAAAATGATTGTGGAAAAAATGGCCTTATATCATATACTTGTGAGGTTTAGAATTACCTGGAAACAGGTCAGAACCTGACATAAATACTCCACAGATTTATGTCCACAGATAAAAAGAAGGCTAATATTCATTGTCCTTTTTAAATAGCA